TATATCCAACTCAAGGCAGGGAACATACCTAGATATAATATACAGGTTATAGCAATATCATTAATAGATGTTGGATCCTATGCGTCAGTAGTTAATTATTTACCTGTATTTTTTTCCTACCATGTATCTTTTGTACATCTCTTGTGAACAAGTTACCCCAAGAGCCTAGTCCTGTGCAAAACTAGATGATTTCAATGAGTTTAATCATGCTTGATTTTGCACAGGGTATAGCTTAAGTAAGCTTAAGCAAGCTTCATAGGTGACCAGGGGTTTGGACACAAAGCTCTTTTCTTCTAACTCAGTCTACCATCTGATTACAATGGAACTAAGTTGATTAGTCATGAAAGTTTTAGTTGGTGAGGCTGCAATCCTATGATATCCATGCCAGTCCCAGAATAGGGTACAATAAAGCCACCCAACATTACAAAGTTAAAACCAATCAAAATTATTAAAGGTGAAAGCTTCTGATTGGACTGTGAAAAGAACAACAGAATGCCCAATAGTTTAGCCAAAAGTGTGAGTGAAAAGATTGACACTAAACTGTAAATAGCTACAGGCTAATTTTGAAATTGGAAGTTGATTAAGCAAGAATAATAGATTACTATTAAATTGTAAAATACATGTTAACCTAAAGTACTACAACTTTAGCCCTAATGAAAATCCTGGGATTTATTGTTTAAAGCCCAGTATGTAAATAGCAAGAGAGAGAGAGAAATTTTCCTCCCCCCTGAAACAACCTTTTAATACAGAAGTATGCTAATCACTTGTAATTTAACTGTCTTAGCTGGATTGCTAAGTAGGCTAATGCAAGCTTGGCTGAAATCCAGTTTGTTTATAACCTGGGGTAGATGTCTTCTAAACCCCATTTAGTAAAGACATCACAATTGGGGGAGGGAAAGGGGGAGAAATATTTTTCCTTTTCATTATTATTTTGCCTCAACTGGAACTCAGTGTCTGTTCTACTTCAGAGATGCATTTAAGTCTGTATAGCACATCTAAGCATTAGCAAATTAAAATAAGTTGCAGAAATCAGAGGCCTAGAAGGGTATCTGTTTCTTCTGTAGGCCACACTTTGGTTTGCTGGTGAAGCTGTGTGGAATTCTCTTATCCCATGGAGATTTATATCTGGTTTGTTAGTTATGGCTTGTCTGTTAGTCAAAGTGATATCCCTACAAATAAGTGACTTCATTTTCATCCTGTGACGAATTATTGCCCAATTGCTCCCTTATGAGCTGGAAAGTTTAACATTTATTGTTTCCTATATGGTAGTGCAGCTTCCAACATTGTTAAAATCTGGCAAGCCATATTCAGAGGATCTTAGCGACTTTAGCCAGGTAACAGAGCTGTTGATATGCTTGGGCTAGGTTTTATCTTCTCTTGTAGTGTGTGATTAATTGGGCGTAAAGGTAGCCCAAAGCAAATGCATTCTTATTAAGCATCACACAATGCTGGTGCCTGGTTCTTCCCCCCACCACCCCAACAAATTTTAGGCCCCTTTCCTTATGCAAACAGTAAAAGTGTAAAAACAGTAATGAGAATTAAGCAAGCTCTGAGTGTTCTCTCAGTTCCATGAGATGGATATTATGGCCTTTTCCTTGAAAACATTCCCTAAAAGATTTAAGATAGAAGACCGCACAAAGCTTGCAGATTGTACTACAAAGCATTCTGCCTTATTCAGCTCCAATAAGGTGTCAAGTTCATTAAGGAGCAAAATATGATGTGTAAAAGAATAATGTAGCAACAAGCTACTTTCCACACTTCTTATTGGTTTTGCCTTCTTATTATACCACATTATTATGCCAGGCATTACTACCAGGAAAAAGGTACAGGACACTCCATGTCAGTCACCCTCAAGTAACCCTTTTCACTTGCCATATCCTTCTCTTGCACTGAAACACAAACATTCTCATACTCCTGATTCTCAGGACCAAACCAATCTATGAAGTCAAAAAGGGGAGCTCATTTTATGACTAACTATAGCATGGGGGGGTGAGAGAAAAAGCCAACCTCCCTGTGTTCTGCTACTTTAATTCCTCCCTCTTGCCAAGAAGGTCTTTGAGTAGAGGCACTGGAGTATTTGGCCAGATCCATTTTTTAGCCTAAGCAGATGTTTGATGCCCCAGAAATTAAGAATTGGTGAACCCACAAAGAATCAAGGAAGGAACCCTCAACTTAGGGCCATATGCCCAAATTGGTAACACAGAGTCACGTGATTGGTTCATGCTGATATACCATCAAATTCTTAAAATCTGAAAGTCACCCAACAGCATCACTGCAAGGCGCTAATTTTGCACCCTACAAAGGAATTGGGGCTGACAAAGGTTGTTCCTCTGGCAATGGTATTCCTTTAATTTGGATGATTATAATTCTGTTGATCATATCCCTATACTTCTAATATCTGTATAATTACAATTGCACTTCTTTAGCCCATCTCATGAAAATTTTCTATTTTAAAAAATGAAGGATTTTCATACATGCGTATTTTATCGTATTGTATGTCTCACTCGTATGCATCCCTCTGAGACTCATAACCCACATTTTGAAAAATGCAGAGTGATGCATGGACCAAAACATTGTGGTTTGTATAGCATGGTTTAGTCTTACAGATATGAATAAAGCAGACCACTATGGGTTGCGCAGTAAACCACAATTTAAAAAATCATGGAATAGTCCAGCATATAAATCTAGCCACTGATTCTTATCTGGAAGATTAAAACTGTGCTTTAAGGATAAATCTCAACTACTACTAAGTACAACTGGTACTAATTTGACTTCTGGCAACATTTACTGTACATGAAAAAATTGTTTCTGCCACCCACCTTAAAATTTTCTCTAAGTTTCTAATTTCTTATTTCTAAAAAATTTCTAGAAAATTTCTAAATTTCTCCAATCAAAACCAAACTCATCAACCTTTCAAACTTTTCTTGTGCCAATTGTTCTAACTTAGGGCTTTTATATCAAGCCTCCATATTAGCAGCCTTTGCAGTGGAATAATAATGGTAGAATTTAGCTAACAATATTAAATTCACTTTGGAAAAAAAATGAAAAGGGTTATACTCAAGATAGCATATTTTTCAAATAAAGTATCTCTTGAAAAAAAGAAAGAAATAATAACCAGACCTTGATGTTTCATTTTGCATTAATGCTTATAATAAGGTAATAAATGGGTGGATTTTGACTTTGTTGGTACATCTCTCTATCTCACTCACATGGAATTTTGTTTTCAGGGAGTACCACAACTACAATCACAGAAAAGCCAGTACCAACTGATACTACAGTTCAGCCAGGTAAGCTATAACAATAATTGACTCTGGATAAAATGCA